GCTAAGGCAGGCAGATCATCTGAGGTCGGGCGTTCAAGACCAGCCTGGCCAACATGGCGAAAACCCATCTCTACTAAAAATACAAAAATTAGCCAGCTGTGGTAGCGCACGCTTGTAGTCCCACTACTTGGGAAGCTGAGGCAAGAGAATCACTTGAACCCAGGAGGCAGAGGCTGCAGTGAGCTGAGACCACACCATTGCACTCCAACAGAGTGGGCAACAGAGTGAGATCCTGTCTCAAAAAAAAAAAAAAAAGAAAGAAATTTCTTTAGAGTGAGACTCTGTCTCACCAAAAAAAAAAAAAAAAAAAAAAACACACACCTCTAACCCCACCACTTTGGGAGGGCGAGGGGGGCGGATTTCCTTAGGTCAGGAATTCAAGAACAGCCTGACCAAGATAGCGAAACCCCGTCTCTACCAAAAATACAAAAAATTAGCCAGGCGTGGTGGCGGGGGCCTGTAGTCCTGTAGCAGGACAAGCCACAGACAAAACTCCTCAGACACCGGATTAAAGAAGGAAGAGATTTTTTATTCGGCCGGGAGTGTTGGCAGACTTGTGTCTTAAGAGCCAAGCTCTCCGAGAAAAAAATACCTGGCCTTTTTAAAGGCTTACAACTTTAAGAGGTCCATGTGAAAGGGTCATGATAAATCGAGCAAGTGTGGGAAACGTGACTGGGGGCTACATGCATCAGCTATAACAGAACAGAAAGTTTTACAACGCTTTTTTCATACAGTGCCTGGAATTTACAGATAACACAAGTAGTTTAGGCCAGGGGTTGATGTTATTATTACTTTGTTTAACTCCTAGGGCCGGGTGGTGGTGCCAAGGTTGTCTGGCTATTTGTCTTACTTTTGTTTCTTTTTCTCTTTACTCCTGTCTTGTGAACTAGGCAAGGTGGGGGGAGGAGGGCAGCAGGAGTAGTAGTGGTCTCCTTCCTTAGTCCCAGCTACTCACAAGGCTGAGGTAGGAGAATGGCATGAACCCGGGAAGCAGAGCTTGCACTGAGCAGATTATCACGCCACTGCACTCCAGCCTGGGCAAGAGTGAGACTCAATCTCAAAAAAAAAAAAAGAAAGAAATTTCTAGAATTCGCGTGGTAAGTTCCGCATTGTCTGGTTGTTGCCATGGAAAGAGGCGGGAGCTTCCGGTGCTGTCATGGCAATGGTAAACTGACATGGCACACTGGTTGGTGTGCCTCCTGGGAGGCTCTTCTGCCCTGGACCTGTTTTAGCTAGTCCTCAGTTTGGTCCCGTGTCCAAGCCCCGCCTCCGGAGTTGAGCTCCACCTCCTACCTCATTTTCTTTTTTAGAGACAGAGTTCCACCCTTGTTGCCCAGGCTGCAGTGCAATGGCATGATCTTGGCTCACTGCAACCTCCGCCTCCCAGGTTCAAGCAATTCTCCTGCCTCAGCCTCCCAAGTAGCTGGGATTACAGGTGCATGCCACCACACCCAGCTAATTTTTGTATTTTTAGTAGAGACGAGGTTTCATCACATTGGTCCAGCTGATCTGCCTGCTTCAGCTCCCAAAGTGCTGGGATTACTGGCAAGAGCCACCGCACCCGGCATCATTTACTTTTGGATGTGCTTTGCAATAGTCAGAAGAGACCTGCCTGCAGGCCACCCCCACCTTCTCTCTCCACCTGCAGGCACCTGAGTCCACCTCTGTCTCATCCATCCTGAGTCCAGTGTGGGCTCAGCGATGCTCCTCCTTGCACGCATCTCTCATTTCCTCCTGGGGTCTGTCCCTCAAGATAGCCACTACTGCCACAACTCCCATCTGCTCTTGTCTCAGGTTCCTCTCCAGCTACCAGAAGATTTAAAAAATCTTTTAATTGTTTGGCCTCACTTAGCAACAAGGTCTCAAACTTATGCCCCAAAGTGGCCTTCTGTTCTTCTTTTACCTTTCTCCCACCTGCCCCACCCTGTGTCACCATGGATGTCAGTTTCCTGTCCACTCCCCACCCTCCTGTGGACCCTCCCTCGGCCTTCAGAGCCGGTCCCTGCCTCTCCTTCCTGGCTCAGTCCAGTCTCACCCCAGCTGTTCTTCTGTGTGGCTGCAATTGCCACCGTCCTCATCCTGTCCTCTGTGGTCACTTCGCAGCCAGCATCACTTTCCAGCATCATTTGGCTTTTGTCACACTCCTGCTCAGAAGCCCGCGTGGGCTTCCTGTGTGGCTTGGACCGGGACCACACAATCTGCCCCACCCAGTTACCTCAGAAAGACTGTAATTCCCAAGTTGTCTTCAGTCCTCCATTCATATCAACTTGTCCCCAGACTCCATTCGCCCAAAGCAGGAAAGCTTTGCTCATGGCTTGAAGGCACAGTGGCCTTCCTCGGGGACTTTCCCAGTTTTGTGCTTGCTCTCACACCAAGACCACCCATGGCCTGTTTCCAAACTCCACATCCCAGATAGCTTGAAACTATGTTTTAGGATCTTTTATCAGAATTTCTGCTTTGTCTTCAGAATGGCTCCGTGCCCTCAAATCTCTACAAATTCCCTTTTTGGTTAAATGCAGTTTCTTTGGACAGCTTTCCTTTCTTGAGCTCTGGTTATGGCAACAGCATCAGCCTCATCTTGCATGGCAGCCTCCCCTCAGGCCTTTTGCCTTCCAGGTTTCGGCTTTGTATTTGCTGTAGGTCAAGGGCTTTGGCGGCAGATAGCCACACCTGTGGACTCCTCCAGCATGTCCTGGCTGATGCGTTAGGTGAGTCATTTGGCTTCCCTATTTCTCAGTTTCCTCATCTATAAAATGGAGATAATATTAGAAGTCACCTGACAAAGCTGTTGTGGCTCAAGGGGGTTCCTAAGCAGGGAGCAGACTTAATGCCAAGTGGTATTGGGCCTGTGGAGGGGAAGACACAAGAGGCAGGAGTCAGGCTGTGATGCCATCAAGCATAGCGGATACTGATTCCCTGCAGGGAGCTCTGCAACAGAAGTGGCTCTCAGGGCTGTCCTCGGTTGGACCAAGATGGCCAGGACTTTGCAACGTGAGCTGTCCCAGGGAACAGTGTGACCCTGGTGAGTTGCAACTGATGGCTGAAGACCGCTTACCACACCCTGAACAACTAGGACACCCAGCCTGTCACTGGAGGGGTCTCCCTGGGCCTCTCATCACAGCATCCACCACAGTTGCTGACATTCACATGGGCCAAGCACTGGGCTAGACATGGAATGAGACGGGGGTCCCTGACCTCACGGAGCTTCCTTTCTACTGGCAGGGACAATCAGTACCAAACAAGTAAACTCAAAGTATTAAGTGCCACGATGCAGCCATGTGTTAGCTGTTGGTGGGGTTGAAGTGGCATTTGTCAGGTGTACAAGGCAGATGTTGATCTGTGACAACCTACTCAGGTGGTGTTCTCAAGCTCTTTGGGCCTGCAGACAGAGAGGCTGAAAGGTCTGTAAGCCCTGTGGGGAAGAGGCCCCAAGCCCTTCTTGCCTTAAGAGCTGGGTCCCATGGTAAGCTGGCAATAGGGTTGCAGCAGCCGAGGTCTCCAGGCCTGGATGAAAGGTGGGGTTGCTCAATATAGGGCTTTCACACACAGCCCTGGAACACAGAAGCCTTTCCAAGAGTCGGGAGCCCCTGGAGAATCACAGCAGGACTTCCACATGGACTCTGTCCTGGAATTCCTGTAGACAGTCTTTGGATGAGGGCACGCGCCTAGCGTGTCCCGTTGGCCACAGCTCCTTCTCCCACGTTGCTTCTCTTCCTTTGTTCACCCTGGTACCTGGCCCTGGTACCTGGGCTGTCCTCCTCATCAAAGGGATAATTCAAAACTCTGCAGTTGATTTTAAGAAAGTAGGTGAATTTATTGGCTGGGAAAGACTTAATGTAGTTTTGCACTTTAGGTTACTTCTAATTCTTTGCTCCTGTCAAAATGTAAAAAGGACCTATTCAAGTGGTCAACTGACAGGTCATTACGTACACTTGGTGATAAACTGCTGTTATGTTTTTTGAATGTAAGTCAGAAGGAGCTAAAGAAATTGAGAGTCGACTGGGCACAGTGGCTCACACCTGTAATCCCAGCACTTTGGGAGGCCAAGGCGGGCGGATCACGAGATCAGGAGATCAAGATCATCCTGGCCAACATGGTGAAACTCCGTCTCTACTAAAAACACAAAAATTAGCTGTGCGTGGTGGCGTGTGCCTGTAATCCCAGCTACTCCAGAGGCTGAGGCAGGAGAATCGCTTGAATTACGGAGCCGTAGGTTGCAGTGAGCCGAGATCACGCCACTGCATTCCAGCACTACAGCCTGGTGACAGGCGAGACTCCGTCTGGAAAAAAAAAAAAATTGAGTGTCATTGCTAAAACAAAATTCCTCCCAATCCCATCTAACAATTTAGGTAATCAAGTTCCCTCAGTGCTAGCAGAAAAATGGAAAAAGAAAACCAAAAATACGAATATAATTTTTTTTGGGGGGGGGCAGGGGAATGTAATTAGTTCGGACTGTGACTCATTCTAGCAATGAGTAATGTCTACTAAGAATCAAGGAGCCGGCGCGGTGGCGCGCGCCTGTAGTCCCAGCACTTTGGGAAGCCGAGACGGGAGGACCACCAGAGCCCGGGAGGTCGAGGCTGCAGTGAGCCGAGATCGCGCCACTGCACTGCAGCCTGGGCGACGGAGAGAGACCCTGTCTTAAAAAAAACAAAACCCGAAAACCAAAAAACCCCACAGCGCGCCGCTTCCCCACCTCTCTGGGGCGCAGAAGGAGGTAGTTTGGCCCTCACGGTATTTACTTCCCCTGGGTCCTCGCCTCCTGAGAGGCTGGTCTTGGGCTGCAGCCGGGCCTCGCCGCGAGTTCCAGGCCCGAGTTTCCGAGCCCGCGCTTCCCGGCCCGCAATCCTCTCAACCGCGTAACGACGCCCCGCCCGCCACACGCCCGGCGACCCTCCGGGGGTCTTAGTCCCCGCGGCCGGAAGATCGCACCACCGAGAGGGGAGCCGAGCCGTAGCGCTCCTAGAGCGCCACCGGAAGTTTCCCAGGCGGGGCTTCTCGCGACTTCCGGTCGCGGCGGGCTGGCTGAGGTGCGGGCTTTGTCGGCGGGTCTGCTGGGCCCGCGCCCGCGGGGTCCAGTCAACGGCTGCGGGGTCGGGCTGGCGCCGTCCTCTCCCCGCCTGCGCCGGGTGAGTGGCACGTTCCGGGCGGGGGCGGGCAACGCCTTAGCTGCAGCACCGGCTGGCTCCGGAGCCCGGCGGCCTTGCCGGGGCAGAGTCCGCCGGGAGGGCCGGGCGGGGTCCGCAGGCCGCGGCCCGCCCCGCAGGGCGTCCAGGAGCAGGGCCTTGGCTAGCCGGTGTCCCGGACGCAGCCACGGCAGCCCCCGCGAGGCTGCAGCGTCTTTCCAGCGAGCCCACCTCGGACTCGAGCCTGGGGTCTTCTCCCTGAGGAGCGCCGTGTGGGTCCCCCTGGTTCCCTCCTCTTGCCCGAGCCGTAGAGCCGCGGGCTTGAGTTTCCGCGTCGCCGTGTTCAGGCCCGCCAGGCCTGCGTGAGGTTGATGCCGCAGAGATGTTTTACGGTGTGACGGGACTGGGTGTGGGCGTTCCCGCGGCTGTGCCTGAACCCTTCCTCCGCGCCCTGGGGCCTTGAGGCTTCCCAGTGCTGGAGGAGATGCAGCGCCAGCGTCTTCCATGCTGTTGGGGATAGGGGTGGGGAGGGAACCGTGATGAGCAGAATTAGAATTAAGTACAAGACTTGGTCCTGGAGGAGAATTCCCAGATGGGAAGAGGTGGTTTGGCAATCCTGCGTTTTCTCGAAGGTACCCTTTCCTTTCAAGTCTTTAAGAATCCCAGTGGCGGCCGGACGCGGTGGCTCAAGCCTGTAATCCCAGCACTTTGGGAGGCCGAGGCGGGCGGATCACGAGGTCAGGAGATCGAGACCATCCTGGCTGACACAGTGAAACCCCGTCTCTACTAAAAAATACAAAAAACTAGCCGGGCGAGGTGGCGGGCGCCTGTAGTCCCAGCTACTCGGGAGGCTGAGGCGGGAGAATGGCGTGAACCCAGGAGGCGGAGGTTGCAGTGAGCCGAGATCCGGCCACTGCACTCCAGCCTGGGCGACAGAGCGAGACTCCGCCTCAAAAAAAAAAAAAAAAAAAAAAAGGAATCCCAGTGGCTTTCTCTGTTCTTATGTCAAGGCTGTCTTGTCCCCTTTACACATAGGCTACGTCATGGTCCAGCGACCCTCAGGGTCTGAGCAGCGCCTGGATGCGAGCCTCAGACTCGGGTAGTTGGTGTGAAACACCTCAGGGAGCTGCTGAGCTTGTTGGCGCTGCTTCAGGGTCATGGAAGATGACCCAGGAGAGGACACGGGGCTCATCGTTATTCTTAGGCAGAGCCCTGAGCAGCATGCTGGTAGCAGAAGCCAAATGGCCTGCGTGGGGCGGGGGCAGTTGACAGCTGGCTCCAGTTCTCTGACCTTACGCTTGTTACCTCCCTGAACCTCTGCACCATCTTGGGGAGCACTAGGAAAACAAGCGCTCCCTGCCTAGCGTGTGGCGCACGGTAGGCCCCTTGGTGTGGGGCGGGGCAAGGAAGTCCAGATGTTGGTGGAGCTCTAGTCCAAGGCCCACTCGGCTGCCCTCTGGCTCTGCTTTTCCTGTTTCCTAAGGGTGAAGCTTGGTGTTAATTTCTTCAGGCTGTAAGCAACACACAGTGACTCTGGCTGGGAGTTTGAGGCTGGAATATCCCCTTACCAGTGTGGGTGTAAGAGCTGGGGGCTTCTAGTGCCGGATGGGACACCCTTGGACACCCCAGGGCTGCTGTGGCTTCTGATGATACACAACATCTGCTGTTGAGACAATTTCAGGTGATTTTTATTTATTTTTTATTTATTTATTTATTTATTTGAGATGAAGTCTTGCTCTGTCACCCAGGCTGGAGTGCAGTGGCATAATCTCGACTCACTGCACCCCCAACCTCCCGGGTTCAAGTGATTCTTCTGCCTCAGCCTCCGGAGTTGCTGGGACTACAGGCATACGCCACCACGTCCGGCTAACTTTTGTATTTTTAGTAGAGACAAGGTTTTACCATATTGGCCAGGCTGGTCTCAAACTCCTGACCTCGTGATCCGCCCACCTCGGCTCCCGAAGTCCTGGGATTACAGGCGTGAGCCACCGCGCCTGTCCTCAGGTGATGTTTTATTCAGTAAATTCTGTGTTATAACAGGAGAGGGGTCCATGCTAGCCAGTTTGTTGCGTGGAGCCACAAGTCAGGTGGCTTCTTTTTTTTTTCATTTCATGTCAGTTTCTTTAAATGAAAGTGTATTGATTTAATTTTACTTAAATTCATAAAAGAAAAAGGAGCTAAGCAAAAACTGAAGATAGCTATTTTGAGATAACTGTTTCTTCGAAGCAAGATATTTGCAATTTTAAAAACTTTCTCTAGAGGCAGGCAGATCATGAGGTCAAGAGTTCGAGACCAGCCTGACCAACGTGGTGAAACTCCATCTCTACTAAGTACAGAAGTTAGCCAGATGTGGTGGTGTGCACCTGTAATCCCAGCTAGTCAGGAGGCTGAGGCAGGAGAATCGCTTGAACCAGGGAGGTGAAGGTTGCAGTGAGTGGAGATCACACCATTGCACTCCAGCCTGGGCGACAGAGTGAGATTCCGTCTAAAAAAAAAAAAAAAATTTTCTCAAAAGTTAAAAAAAAATATGAAAATCATTAAGAGGCACACATATGGCTTTAAGATATATTCTTGTAAACAGAAACAGCTTGTTTCTGGCTGGGCGTGGTGGCTTACGCTTGTAATCCAATCCCAGCACTTTGGGAGGCTGAGGTGGGTGGATCACTTGAGGTCAGGAGTTTGAGACCAGCCTGGGTAATGTGGTGAAACCTCATCTGTACTAAAAATGCAAAAAAAATTAGCCGGGTGTGGTGGCAGGCGCCCGTAATCCCAGCTACTTGGGAGGCTGAGGCAGGAGAATAGCTTGAACACACAAGACAGAGATTGCGGTGAGCCGAAATTGTGCCACTGCACTCCAACCTGGGCGACAGAGCGAGACTCCGTCTCAAAAAACAAACAACAACAACAAAAACAGCTTATTTCCAGGTATTATAACAGCCATTTTAAAATTTAAAATCAGAAGGCATCACTGAGTTCCAAAACAAATAAGAAACCAACATCTCCAGCCCACCGTCCCCCCACTTTTTTTTTTGAGATGGAGTTTTGCTCTTGTTGCCCAGGCTGCAGTACAATGGCGCAATCTCAGCTCACTGCACCCTCTGCTGCGCGGTGTCAAGAGATTCTCCTGCCTCAGCCTGTTGAGAAGCCGGGATTACAGGTGTGTGCCACCACACCTGGCTAATTTTGTGTTTTTAGTAGAGATGGGGTTTCACCATGTTGGCCAGGCTGGTCTTGAACTCCTGACCTCAGGTGATCTGCCTGCCTCAGCCTCCCAAAGTGCTGGGATTACAGGCGTGAGCCACCATGCCCGGCCCATCTCCTTTTTTATTTTTACTTATTTTTAATTTTTATTTATTTATTTATTTTTGAGGTAGAGTTTTGCTCTTGTTGGCCAGGCTGGAGTGCAATGGCGCCATCTCGGCTCACTGCAGCCTCCACCTCCACCTCCACCTCCACCTCCACCTCCCGGGTTCAAGCGATTCTCCTGCCTCAGCCTCCCTAGTAGCTGGGATTACAGGCATGTGCCACCGTGCTCAGCTTATTTTGTATTTTTAGTGGAGATGGGGTTTCTCCATGTTGGTCAGGCTGGTCTCGAACTCCTGACTTCAGGTGATGTGCCTACTTCAGCCTCCCAAAGTATTGGGATTACAGGTGTGAGCTACTGTGCCCAGCTTACTTTTTTTTGGAGATAGAGTCTTGCTCTGTCGGCCAGGCTGGAGTGCAGTGGCGCAGTCTCGGCTCACTGCAAGCTCCGCCTCCTGGGTTCACGCCATTCTCCTGCCTCAGTCTCCCCAGTAGCTGGGACTACAGGCACCCGCCACCATGCCCGGCTAATTTTTTGTATTTTTAGTAGAAACGGGGTTTCACCGTGTTAGCCAGGATGGTCTCGATCTCCTGACCTCGTGATCCGCCCGCCTCGGCCTCCCAAAATGCTGGAATTACAGGCGTGAGCCACTGCACCAGGCCTTTTTTTTTTTTTGAGATGGAGTCTTGCCCTGTGATGCAGGCTGGAGTGCAATGGCGTGATCTCGGCTCACAGCAACCTCTGCCCCCTGGATTCAAGCGATTCTTCTGTCTCAGCCTCCCGAGTAGCTGGGATTACAGGCATGCACCACCACGCCTGGCTAATTTTTTCTCTCTTTAATAGAGATGAGGTTTCACCATGTTGACCAGGGTGGTCTCAAACTCCTGACCCTGTGATCCTTCTGCCTCGGCCTCCCAAAGTGCTGGGATTACAGGCGTGAGCCACTGCATCTGGCCTCTCTTTTTAAAACAGAGACTGTGTTTCACCATGTTGACCAGGCTGGTCTCTAACTCCTGAGCTCAAGTAGTCCACCTGCCTCAGCCTCCCAAAGTGCTGGGATTACAGGTGTGAGCCACCATGCCTGGCCCAGTTTGAATATCATCATGGGGAGAATTGAATCTGAATATTTGAGTTGTATATTAGCATTATTTAAGACGTAGGTTAAAGTTGCTGTAACAGATTCAAATATGGTGTTTCAAATAAGAAATTTTAAGAAATTTGAGTTGTCTTACTCTCTCTTTTTTTTTTTTTTTTTGAGACGGAGTCTCGCCGTGTGGCCAAGGCTGGAGTGCGGTGGCCCGATCTCGGCTCACTGCAAGCTCCACCTCCCGGGTTCACGCCATTCTCCCGCCTCAAGCTCCGAGTAGCTGGGACTACAGGTGTCCGCCACCACGCCCAGCTAGTTTTTTGTATTTTTTTTTTTTAGTAGAGACGGGGTTTCACCATGTTAGCCAGGATGGTCTCGATCTCCTGACCTCGTGATCCACCTGCCTCAGCCTCCCAAAGTGCTGGGATTACAGGCTTGAGCCACCACGCCCGGCCATCTTACTCTCTCTTAAAGGTAGGGGGTGGCCTCCAGGGACTCTGGCTGCCCTGCCTCATCAGCACTGTGGGGAGGGGAGAGAGCGGACGGCATGCACACATCACTTCCCTTCTCGCCTCAGCTTGGTCACAAAGCCACCTCAGTTAAGGGAACACTAGGAAGTGTCATTTGTGGGGCAATCATTAGTAATTTGATGGGGTTTCTAACACTGAAAGGAAGGAGGAAACAGGAAGGCTGGGGAACCACAGCGGCCACCCAAGTGTCCAGTGGACCTTTTATCCCACACATGGGGATGTGCCGGTGTGGGTCCAGATCACTGCGATAAAGTGAATAGCAAAACAAAGCAAGTCACAGGAACTTTTTAGTTTCCCAGTGTATATAAAAGTTAACGTTTAAGCTATGCTGTGGTCACTATTAAGTATGCAATAGCATTATGTCTAAAAAAATGTAAATAATTTAAAGATATTTTATTGCTAAAAGATGATCATCTGAGCCTTAAGTTGTAATCATTTTGCTGTTGGAGGGTCTTGCCTCTCTTGATGTCCCTCCACCTCCCGGGTTCAAGCGATTCTCCTGCTCACTGATCAGGGTGGTGGTTGCTGAAGATTGGTGTGACTGACAGTTTCTTAAAGTGGGACGATGAAATTTGCCACATCAATGGAATCTTGCTTTCACAAAAGATTTCTCTGTATGTAGCGTGCAAAGCTGTTTGCTAGTATTTTACCCACAGTAGAACTTCTTTCAGAATTAGAGTCAAGCCTCTCAAACCCTGCCTGTGTTTTATCAACTAAGTTTATGGAATCTTCAAAATCCTTTGTTGTCATTTCAACAGTGTTCATGGCATCTTCACCAGGAGCAGATTCCATCTCAACAAACTTACTTGTTTTGCTCGTCTCTAAGAAGCAACACCTCAGCCAGGCACGGTGGCTCATGCCTGTAGTCCCAGCACTTTGGGAGGCTGAGGTGGTGGGTGGATCACCTGAGGTCAGGAGTTTGAGACCAGCCTGGCCAACATAGCAAAACCCTATCTCTACTAAAAATACAAAAATTAGCCGGGCGTGGTGGCAGGCGCCTGTAATCCCAGCTACTCAGGAAGCTGAGGCAGGAGAATTGCTTGAACCCGGGAGGTGGAGGTTGCAGTGAGCCGAGATTGTGCCACTGCACTCCACCTGGGGAACAAGAGTGAAACTCCGTCTCAAAAAAAAAAAAAAAGCAACACCTCATCCGTTTAAGTTTGGTCATGAGATTGAAGCAATTCAGTCACATGTTTAGGCTACACTTCTAAATCTAGTTCTCTTGCTGTTTTCACCACATCTGCAGTTGCTTCCTCCACTGAAGTCTCAAACCCCTCAAAGATTCATGAGGGCTGGAATCAAGTTTTTCCAAAATATCAAATGTTGTTATTTTGACCTCCTCCCACGAATCATGAATGTTCTTCATGGCGTCTATAATGATGACTCCTTTCCAGAAGATTTTCAGCTGACTGCCCAGATCGATCAGTGGAATCATTATCTATAGCAATTATCTACAGCCTTGTGAAACATATTTCTTAAATAATGAGACTTGAAAGTTGGAGTGACTCCCAGCCACGGGCTGCAGAATGCACGTTGTGTTGGCATAAGAAGAACATCAGTCTCCCTGTTCACCTCTGTCAGAGCTCTTGGGTGACCAGGAGCATTGTCAGTGAGTAGTGTTTCGAAAGGAATATTTTTTTCTGAGCAGTAGGTCTCATTAGTGGACTTAAAATACTCAGTAAACTGCTGTAAACAGATGCGCTGTCATCCAGGCTTTGTTCCATGTCTAGAACACAGGCAGAGTGGATTTAGCATCATTCTCAAGGCTCCTAAAATTTTTAGAATGGGAAATGAGTGTTGGCGTCATGTCACCAGCTGCATTCGCCCCTAACGAGAGAGTCAGCCTGTCATTTCAATCTTTGAAGCCAGGCATTGACTTCTCTCTAGTTACGAACATCCTAGATGCTGTCTTCCAGTAGAAAGCAGTTTTATCCATACTGAAATTATTTTTACAGTAGCCACCTTAGTCAGCCATCTCAGCTAGATCGGGAGAACTTGCTGCAGTTTCTCCCGTAAAACTTGTGACTTCACCTTGCTCTTTTATGTATGGAAGTGACTTCTTTCCTTAAACCTCATGAACCAACCTCCGCTGGCTTTCTGCTTTTCTTCTGCAGCTTACCTCACCTGTCTCGGCCTTCATAGAATTGAGGACGGTTAGGACCTTGCTGTGGATTCATCTTTGGTTGCCAGTCACACCAACCGTCAGGGAAAGTTGTTGTTTTAATCTCTCCAGACCACTCAGACTTCCTCCACATCAGCAATAAGGTGGTCTTGCTGTCCTATCATTTGTGTGTTCACTGGAGCAGCTCCTTTAATTTCCTTCGGGGGCTTTTCCTTTGCATTCCCACTCGGCCATTTGATGCAAGAGGCCCGGTTTTCTGACTGAGTTTTAGACATGCCTTCCTCACGAAGCTTAATCATTTCTAGCTTTTGGTTTAAAGTGAGAGATGCGGGATTCCTCATTTCATGTGAGCACTTAGAGGCCTTGGTAAGGTTACTAATTAGCCTAATCTCAATATTGTTGTGTCCAGGGAAGAGGGAGGCCGGAGGAAAGGGAGAGAGATGGGGAACAGCCAGTTGGTGGTGGATGTAGAAAACACACATTGATAATTCAGCTGCTTTTATGGGTGCGGTTTGTGGTGCCCCAAACAGTGACAGTAGTTTTAGATTCCTGTTACCTGCCCGGTACCTGGCATGGGTGTGGAGGGCAGAGTTCTGAGGTGGCCTCTTAGATTCCTGGCCCCTAATGTACACACCCCTTCTTCCAGTTACTCAGACACTCATCTGGTACTGCCGTGAAGAGACTTGGAGATGTCCAGAAGTCCCAGGTCAGTGAGGTGAGAAGGGAGGCCGTCTGGGAGAGCCTGACCTAATCGCACAGGCCCTGGGAAGCAGAGGTTCCTCCATCTGGTTGGAGAACAGAGGCTGAGATTAGACACCTGAGAAAAATGTGATGTGCTGTGCCTGCCTTGAGGCTTCAGGTGGCCCCTAGGGGCAGCTCCTGCTCACAGCCAGTAAACACACAGGGTTCTCAGTCCTACAGTTGCAGGGAACTGGATTCTGCCACGAAATCTGAGTAAGTTTGGAAAGTAGTTTTCCCCAGGGCCTCCAGATGAGAACTCGGCCCGATGACATACAGTTGCAACTTTGCGTGACCCTGCGTGGAGGTCCCAGCTGGCCTGGATGTGTGACCCGCAGAACTGTGGGGTGACAAATGCATGCTGCTTTAAGCTGCTGAGTTTGTGTAAATTGTTTTTGGAGCAGTGGATAACTGAGTGGGAGAGGGCTTGGCACTGGGCGGGTGGAGTCCCCTTCTTGGAAGCAGTTCCCAGAGTGGAGATTTCCAAACTGCAGGCAGGGGCATTGCCCTCAACAGCGGGACTGGGTAGAGCATCCCAGTGCCTGCGTGAGGTCGCATAATCCCGGGCCTGACTTTTCCATAGTGAGCACCAGTGTGACCCAGGGCACCATGTGCCCCTGCCAGCCACAATGTCTCCTGAACACCATTGCAGCTTACATCCTCCCACCGGGGATTGGCTCTCTGTTTTCTAGCTTTATGTAAATGGAGTCATACAATATGAGCTCTTTTGTGCCTGTCTGGTTTTGCTCAGCACTTCGTCTGTTGTGAGGTCCACCTGCGCTTTTGTGTGTGGCAGTTTTTTTCTGTGCATTATTGTTTTGTGTGAGTCTTCTGTTGCTATTTAGAGTGTTAGAATGCTGCTAAGAACACTCTAGCTACAGCCTTCTGCAGGGCAGGCTTGCAGTTTCTCCAGCAACCTAATTCCCTTGAAAATATCATCACTGTTGGCGCTGCTTGCTGCCAGTGCATCCCATGTCACAGCTCTGGTTTTGTTATTTTTTATTTTTATTTTTTTAAATTTTATTTGTTTTGAGATGGAGTCTCACTTTGTCACCCAGGCTGGAGTACAGTGGTGTGATCTCTGCTCACTGCAACCTCTGCCTCCCAGGTTCAAGTGATTCTCCTGTCTCAGCCTCCCAAGTAGCTGGGATTATAGGTGCACGCCACCACGCCCGGCTAATCTTTGTATTTTTAGTAGAGATGAGGTTTCACCATAGCCAGGCTGGTCTTGAACTCCTGACCTCAAGTGATCCTCCCACCTTAGCCTCCCAAAGTGCTGGGATTACAGGCTTAAGCAACTGCACCTGGTGCAGCTCTGGTTTTTAAACCAGCAGAAAAATCTCCAGTTTTATTTACTGGATTCTGGGCTGGGCTGATCCCCCCTCTCATTATACTGGCAGTGGCCTTGAGGTATTGGAGACAGTGTAGTGGGTGCGATCTTGGCTCCCACTGCCCAGCAAGAACCCCAAAGAGAAGGCTCTTGAGGCGAGACAGTCAGCTTTCTCATCCTGAGAGCCGCATTAATGGGGCCTCAGTGCATAAGCAGAATATATATGGAAATCAAAAAGGGAATACATGGCCGGGTGTGGTGGCTAACCCCTGTAACCCCAGCACTTTGGGAGGCCAAAGTTGGTGGACCACTTGAGGCCAGGATTTCGAGACCAACCTGGCCGATATGGAGAAACCCCATCTCTACTAAAAATACACAAGAATTGCTTGAACCCAGGAGGCGGAGGTTGCAGTGAGCTGAGATCGCGCCACCATGCAATCAGCCTGTGTGACAGAGCAAGACCCTATCTTAAAAAAAAAAAAAAATGCTGGGCGCAGTTGCTCAAGCCGGTAATCCCAGCACTTTGGGAGACCGAGGTGGATGGATCACCTCAGGTTGGGAGTTCGAGACCAGCCTGACCAGTATGGAGAAACCCCATCTCTACTGAAAATACAAAATTAGCCGGGCGTGGTGGTGCATGCCTATAATCCCAGCTACTTGTGAGGCTGAGGCAGGAGAATCGCTTGAACCCGGGAGCCGGAGATTGCGGTGAGCTGAGATCGTGCCATTGCACTCCAGCCTGGGCAATAAGAGCAAAACTCTGTCTCAGAAAAAAAGAGAAAATACAAATCCTTGGCTGGGCGCTGTGGCTTACTCCTGTAATCCCGGCACTTTGGAAGGCCGAGGCGGGTGGATTATGAGATCAGGAGAGGGAGACCATCCTGGCTAACACAGTGAAACTCCATCTCTACTAAAAATACAAAAAAATTAGCTGGGTGTGGTGGCAGGCGCCTGTAGTCCCAGCTGCTTGGTAGGAGAATGGCGTGAACCTGGGAGGCGGAGCTTGCAGTGAGCAGAGATGGCGCCACTGCACTCCAGCCTGGGCGACAGAGTGAGACACTGTCTAAAAAAAAAAAAGACAAATCCTCAGACTTCAGGCTGGTAAAGTACAGGCGCCAAGAAAGAGACTTTCTCTCAAAGCAATCACCGTTCCTTTGGTCTCTGCTTTCAGAGAGTGGATTCTGGCTTCCTCCCTTTCCATGGCAGAGCCTCAAGTATAGTTTCATTATAACATCTATGAGGGAAAAAGTGATTCCTGGCTGTGAACACCATGTGTGGAGTGTGCACAATCTCCCCACGACTGCCTGGCTTTCCTCCACGTCCCCAAGATGTGTCCATTAGGTGAATTGGGTGTCTCCTTAGTCCCACCATGAGCGAGTTTGGGTGTGTGAGTTGCCCTGCAGTGGGACCCTGTCCTATCCAGGGCTGGTTCTCACTTTGCACCCTGAGCTGCCAGGATAGGCTCCAGCTACCCAGGACCCTGCATTAAAATAAGTGGGTAAATAATTATCTTGTTTTTCTTAATTTTTTTTTATGGGAGATTTTCCAGTAAAAACTGAGAAACCTGCTAGACATTCTAAAAGAGCTGTAGCAAGCACTATTAATCTTTCTTTTTTTTTTTTGAGACGGAGTCTTGCTCTGTGCCCCAGGCTGGAGTGCAGTGGCGCGATCTCGGCTCACTGCAAGCTCCGCCCCCCCGGATTCACGCCATTCTCCTGCCTCAGCCTCCTGAGTAGCTGGGACTACAGGCGCCCGCCACCTCGCCCGGCTAATTTTCTTGTATTTTTAGTAGAGACGGGGTTTCACCATGTTAGCCAGGATGGTCTCGATCTCCTGACCTCGTGATCCGCCCGTCTCGGCCTCCCAAAGTGCTGGGATTACAGGCTTGAGCCACCGTGCCCAGCTAATCTTTCTTTAAGGTATGTATAACTCACATTTATTTCAGCGTTTAATACTTTAGAAGTGTTGGAGCTTTTTTTTTTTTTTTTTTTTTTTTTTTAAGCGACAGGGTCTCACTCTGTCACCTAGGTTGGAGTGCCATGGCACAGTCATGGCTTACTGTAGCATCAAACCTTTGGGCTCAAGTGATCCTGCTGCCTTAGCCTCTCAAATAGCTGGGACCACAGGTATGCAGCATCATACCCAGCTAATTAAAAAAATTTTTTTAGAGATGGGGTCTTGCTGTGTTGCCTAGCCTGGTCTCGGACTCCTGACCTCAAGTAGTCCTCCTCCTCTGGCCATTGGAAATGCTGGGATGATAGGCATGAGCCACTGTACCTGGCTTATTACCCTCTATTGAGTGTATTATGTATGCCTGATTAGAACATTCATTCATACAACAGATATTTATGAAATGTATTACTTTCTGCCGGGAATTGTTTGGGTTGCTGAGGATAAAGAACAGAACAAAGTTCCTGCCCACACAGCACTTACATACTTGTCGGAGAGACAGCAAAACACAGTTTGTTGCCTGTGGGGGAGGGGTTGTGTGTGTGTGCTCACGTGCGTATGTGTGTATATATATCACAATTCGTTGATTCTACGACACACTTTCTCCATATTTTAATATGTCTGAAATTGAGTTGCCTGTTAGAATTGATGGAGTGTTTTTTGTTGTTGTTTGAGACAAGGTTTTACTCTGTCACCCAGGCTGGAATGCTGTGGCACAAGCACAGCTCACTGCAGTCTCAACTTCCTGGGCTCAAATGATTCTCCTGCCTCAGTCTCCCATAGCCGGGACCACAGGTGTGCTACCTTGCCTGGCTGTTTTTAAAAATGTTTTTTGTAGAGATGGGATCTCTCTACCTTGCCCAGGCAGACATTGAACTCCTGGTCTCAAGTGACCCTCCTACCTCTGCCTCCCAAAGTCTTAGGATTACAGGAGTGAGCCACTGTGTCTGGCTTGATGGAGTGTTTTCATTTAAATTGGTACTTTTATTTTCCTTCATGGTTCATAAAGTCGTGTCACATCTCACAGTCGTTGGCTGCTTTGATTGGGTGACTTGTGATTGGTCAGGTGGTCAGAACTGTGCAGAGGAAGCAGAGGCAGGAGAGAGGGCATGCTGAGGGTGAGGGTGCCTGGCTGTTTTATAGCGTGACTAGGAAGGACTCCGATCAGGTGATGTCAACACAGACACCTGAAGGACATCTAGGAGTGAACCATGCAAATATTCTTGGAGTCTTTCTATGAAAGGGCAAAGGCTCCAAGGGGGCTTCTTTGGTCACACTGACCAAAGAAGAGGGAAGGGGAGGGCAGGGGGAGCAGCAGGAGTCCAGGCCCGGTGGCCCTCATGGGGCCTGAGTAGGGGATGGGAAACCCTTGTAAGTTTTGCGTAGAAAAGTGACATCTGATTTATGATTTTAAAGCGTAATTCTGCTGGCTGTGTAGAAAAGAGCTGAAGAAGGGGAGAAGTAAGAAGGTGGGAGGCAGTCACACTTCATGGTGAAAGGCGATGGTGCAGATGGCAGCCTTGTAGGCTGTGGGCATCTGGCGCTGGGCATGGTTTTGAACAGATGTGGTTGGAGGAGTTGCTGGCAGCTCTCAGGCCCCATGAGGCAAGTAGTTAGAACAAAAGGAAAAGGAGTCAAGGGCTGTTGCAATGTCTGTGGCCTGAACAAATGAGACAATGGAGAAGACTATAGGAGGAGGAAAGTCAGAAGTGAGGCAGGACGCGTTAGTGTGGAAACTTCTGGGAGCATCCGATTGAAGGTGTGGGGTGGGGAGCTGGTCAGGTGTGGGGACTGGAAAGAGGGCCAGGTTGGAGGCAGGCATGTGAGTCTTCAGCATAGATGGCATTGCTGTCCGATAACGAGTGCACTTCCCTCTGTAATGGACAAAGATGAGGGCTGAGTCCTAGACACGCCAGCGCTTTGAGGCGTCAGGGGACACTGGGAGGAGCTGTCAGTGAGGCAGGTAAGGAACAGAGAAAGGCTGTCCCAGATTCACATAAGGAGAGTGACTTCTGAAGGAGCGGGGCTGTGTCAGTGCTGCCGCAGGTTGAGTTGGAAGTGTGGCCATAGCTGACCCCTGATGTGGTGACATGGATGTTTGGGGTGAGAGCCCTACTGCAGTAGGCACAGGGGAAGGAGGAAATCGAGAAATCAAGCGTGGGGTGGGGGCTCTGTTAATGTGGCTGTGGAGGAGGAGTGTTATGGGATTGTAATTGGTGGGACATGGGGCCCATGACGTGCATTTTTCAGGTAGTTGGGAACTGGTGCACTTCATGCTGACGGGAGTGGTGGGCTTGGAGGGCAAGGACTTCAGGATGGAGGAGAGGGGTGGGTGCTCAAGTGCTGTCCTTGCATATGTGAGAGGGAAAGGGAGCTCACATACAAGTAGTAGTGTTGACCTTAAGTCAGATCAAGGGCAGTTTAACCCAGGTAACAAGCCTGGCAGAGGATGGGTGGAGATACAAGCTGGCAGGAGATGTGGGAGGCAGTGGATGTCCTTGCCTGATTTCTTCTGTTTTCTCGTTGAAACAAGAAGCAAGGTCACCATTGGGGAGGGAGGAGGGAGTGCTGGGTCTGTAAGAAGACAGGAGAAGTGGAAGGTCCTGTAGGGAGTGGGAAGGGTAGGAGTTGATGGCAGCTCTCAGGCCCCATTAGGCAAGTAGCTCTGAATTTAAAGAACTCAGCTGGCTGGGCATGGTGGCTCATGCCTGTAATCCCAGCACTTTGGGAGGCCAAGGCCAGCGGATCACCTGAGGTCAGGAGATGGAGACCATCCTGGCTAACACAATGAAACCCCGTCTCTACTAAAAATACAAAAAGCCGGGCGTGGTGGTGGGCGCCTGTAATCCCAGATGCTCGAGAGGCTGAGGCAGGAGAATGGAGTGAACCCAGGAGGTGGAGTTTGCAGTGAGCCGAGATGGTGCCACTGCACTCCAGCCTAGGCGACAGAGCAAGATTCTGTCTTAAAAAAAAAAAAAAAAAAAACTCAGCAAGAGTGCAGGCGCAAATCAGGACACAGCCTCGTTTTAACCAAAGCTTGGACTTTCGCATCCGAGTATGATGGAGGGAGAAAAGGGCAGGGGAGTCTGGATTCTGTGTAGGAGGGTGATTCTCATGTAATTTACAGTGAACACAGTGCCCCACACCATGGGGTTTAAGCTAGGTACAGAGGGGAGAAGAGGACATGAAGGAAGGAATGAGGAACAGGGAAGAGGTGGCAGGGCTGATACATTTATACGTTTGTTTAAAATACCTGTCTTGGTTTCTTAATGGAGTCCAAGCATATCCCCACCCCTCTGCAACTCATCCAGGATTCACTAACGGTCAGAGGAGTGTGGTGCACCACAGGCCAGTCTGTCCTGGTGTTGTATGTTAAAAGTGGAGCCACAAAGAAGCCATCTTATGTGGGACGGGCTTGGGTGTGAGGCCAGAGCTGTGGGTAGCAGCACTTTGGGTCAGAAGTGAGGAGCAGAGGAAACACTTTCCACCTCTTGGATATGAATTTTATCTGACCCTGATTCAGGGGATCCCCATCTGTTAAGTAAGGGGAAAGATGATTTTGTTGTCTTTTGTTTCAGATTCTAATGTAGGAACTGGTGAGAAGAAGGTGATTGAAGCTGGATTTCTGAGGATGAAAACTCACATAGGATGATGTCAGACAAACTCACAGTGATGGAGCTCCCTTCTCCCGAGTCTGAGGAAGTCCATGAGCCCAGATTAGGGGAGCTTTTGGGAAATCCAGAAGGTCAGGGCCTGGGGAGTTCCCCCTCTCAGGACAGGGGCTGCAAGCAGGTGACAGTGACCCATTGGAAGATCCAAACAGGAGAGACAGCTCAAGTGTGTGCCAAGTCAGGAAGAAACCCTATTCTGAACTCAGACCTTCTTCTGCTTCAGAGAGAGCTCATAGAGGGGGATGCCAATCCTTGCGATATCTGTGGCAAAACCTTCACGTTTAATTCCGACCTAGTTAGGCATCGGATTTCGCATGCTGGGGAGAAACCTTACAGGTGCGATCAGTGTGGGAAAGGCTTTGGCCAGAGCTCACACCTTATGGAGCATCAGAGAATTCACACTGGAGAGAGACTCTATGTCTGTAACGTGTGTGGGAAAGACTTCATTCACTATGCAGGTCTCATTGAGCATCAGCGTGTTCATTCAGGAGACAAGCCCTTCAAATGTGCACAGTGTGGGAAGGCGTTTGGTCACAGTTCAGACCTGATTAGGCACCAGAGAGTTCACACCAGAGAGAGACCTTTCGAATGCAAAGAGTGTGGAAAAGGCTTCAGTCAGAGCTCCTTACTTATTCGTCATCAGAGGATTCACACGGGAGAAAGGCCCTATGAGTGCAATGAATGTGGGAAATCCTTCATAAGGAGCTCGAGCCTCATTCGCCACTATCAGATCCACACAGAAGTGAAACAGTATGAATGCAAAGAATGTGGGAAGGCATTCCGTCATCGCTCAGACCTTATCGAGCACCAGAGGATCCACACCGGAGAGAGACCTTTTGAATGCAATGAGTGCGGGAAAGCCTTTATTCGGAGCTCGAAGCTCATTCAGCATCAGAGGATCCATACTGGGGAGAGGCCTTACGTGTGCAACGAGTGTGGGAAGCGCTTCAGCCAGACGTCAAACTTCACCCAGCATCAGAGAATTCACACTGGAGAAAAACTCTATGAATGTAACGAGTGTGGGAAAGCTTTCTTTCTGAGTTCATACCTTATTCGACACCAAAAGATCCACACTGGAGAGAGAGTGTATGAATGTAAGGAATGCGGGAAAGCGTTTCTCCAGAAAGCCCATCTCACTGAGCACCAGAAGATCCACTCTGGGGACAGGCCCTTCGAATGTAAAGACTGTGGGAAAGCCTTCATCCAGAGCTCCAAGCTGCTTCTGCACCAGATCATTCACACTGGAGAAAAGCCCTATGCCTGCAGTTATTGTGGGAAAGGCTTTATTCAGAGGTCAAACTTCCTTCAGCACCAGAAAATTCATACTGAAGAGAAGCTCTATGAATGTAGTCAGTATGGGAGAGATTTTAACTCAACTACAAACTTTAAAAATAATCAGAGTGTTCACCAAGAGGGACTCTCCTTGAGTAAGGCCCCCATACATTTGGGCGAGAGGTCTGTGGATCAGGGGCAACACATAGATAACTTACAAAATAATTAGTCTCCCGCCCAATGAGTGATGTTTGGAAATGCGTGGAATTAGGATTCATGTGGTTTCTAAGATTTGGACATGTCAGAATTTTGTGAATCATGGATGGAGCTGCTTTTGGAGTGGATGCCACCTGCCACTGTGCAGCACTAGCAGGCTCACCCTTCTCCTCAGCTGTGAGCACTGTCCGCGGGAAAGTCACAGGGCTTGACACCTGACTCTGAGCTGGAACAGTAGGGGCAGGGAGGAGACAGGTCTCAAGAAACGGTTTTTAAAAAATTTTATCCACATTACAGTCCATCCTTGAGTTAAATCCCTTTTAGAGCAGAACTGTGTATCTAATCTTATTACTTAGGAGAATGTTACCTAGGAAATTTTGATCTATTAAGTTGAAGAAAGATAACTTGTATACAAACCCCCGAGCCATTTCCCTGTTGTCTGGAGGAGGAACTCCAGGTCCCCCATCCTGGGCCCCAAGGCCTCCTGTGTCCTGGAGCCTCGCCTCCCACTGCCTGACTTCCTGCCACACAGTTAATGCTGCAGCAACACCAACTGCTTCATCTTCCCTGTGCTCCACGTGGCTTCCTACCTCTCTCGCCTTTGTTCTTGTTAAAGGGTCTCCTCAGCTAATTAACTCCGAATCATGGTTCAAGACATGCCTCAGGCATCATGTCAAGGGATGTTTCCCTCAGGCTTAGTTGGCAGCGCTTTCCACACTTCTGTGGCTCAGCGATTGCTACTATCACTGTATTTACTTGCATATGTCAGAATGACTTGGTAGACTATCTCTGCTGTTATACTCTGAGTTCCTAAGGACAGTGATCATATCTGATTGATTTACATGTGTCCACTGTCTCTCACAAGGCAATAAAAAATACACCCCTAAATCTACGTGTGATTGGCATCTGTCTTGCTTTGTCCTTTCTATACTGCCATTCTAAAAATTTTCAGCTGTTAGCTGTTTTTTTTTATTATTTGTTCATTTTGTATCAGTATAATCTATGACTCTGTTAGAAGTATCTTCTCAGCCCTGCTACTGTCTGCTGCTCCTACTTAACTCAGAAGTTGCAGGCTATTGCAATAGCCTGTGCACATCCATGCCCTCCTGTGTGCCGCCTTACAGCTCATGCAGAACTGTCCACTTGATCTGGAGGGCATTGACACCTGACTCAGCTGGAGCAGTGGGGACAGGAGGAGGCAGGTCTCAAGAGAAGGCCTTCACTCACTTGTCTGTATCTTTCTGTCTCACTGGAAAGGCACAGTCTCAATGCACTACATAGCTCTTCTGTTTTAGCAGTTCTAAGGTTGAACTGAGCTCTTGTCATTTTCCATGCTGTCTGGCTCATTTTCTTATTTACTTAAAAATGTATTGATATCTATAAGGAATAGTCCTAAATGTTGGGAAAACAGATGAGCAACCCACTACCCCGAAGTCCTCCACAGTGTAGTGGGGAAGACAGAGATCACAGTACGATGAGTCAAGTGTGTGCTCTCAGTTGTGAAGGAGCACAGGTGAGGGGGTGACTGATGTGGCACAGAACTGGGAAGGCACAGAAGAGTGACATTTCAGCTGGGCCAGAGAGATCAGTAGAGATCAGCTAAAGAAAATAGGATTGGAGAGGGAATCCCTGCAGAAACATGGAGTCATGACAGATGGCTCTTTGGCTAGGACTGTTCAAAAGCAGGGGAGGTAAATAGTGGACAGCCACCTCGCAAAACTGTTAGTCTTTGCCTCTGAATTTCATCTGAACATGAACTCCAAAATCCAGTTTTGTAACCATATAGTTTTTCTTTTTCTCATGAGGCCATATTTTGAATTCTTAAATAACTACCAATCCTGAAAGCCTCGGGACAAGTAATTTAAAAAGATGTACATTTTCTGGAAAATGAGCATGACTAGAGATGTTTCACATGTAGATTTTACCAGACCATTTTAATCAACAATTCAATTTTTATATAGTAAAACACCTATTTTAAGTGTACAGGGTTTTGGAAAATCCATACACCTGTGTAACCATCACCACCTGTGTAACCACCACCAACAGAACCAAGAACATTTCTGTCACCCAAAAAGTTCCCTTTTGCCTTTTCCTAGTTAAGCCCAGTCCAGCCCCAGGTAACCACTTTCTATCCGTATAGATTAGTGTTGCTTGGTTTAGAGCCACGTACAAATGGATTCATTTAGTATGTGTTCTTTTGTGTCTGATGTCTTTCACTGTGGCATGTTTTTAGACTCAACCCAGCTGTTTTTGTGTTTCAGTAGTTCTTGCTGAATAGTGTTCCATTGTATAGATAAGCCATCATTTGTTTATTCATCCACATGTTAATGGGTTTCCAGTCTCTGCTCTTAAAACTATGAGCATTTGTGTAAAAGTATGTATTTGCACATGTGTTTTTATTTTGCTTGGGTAAGTACTTAGGACTTTAATTGCTGTGTTGTAAGTGTCTTAGTCCATTCAGGCTGCCATAACAAAATGCCACAAACTGGGAGGCTTGTAAACAACAGAAATTTATGTCTTACAGTTCTGGAGGCTGGGAAGTCCAAGATGAGAGTGTCAACATTTGGTGTCTAGTGAGGGCCTACTTCGTTTTAAGTAGATGTCTTCTCACTGTGACGGTACGTGGTGGAAAGGGACTAGAAAACCTACCCCATTCATGAGGGCTCTCCCCTTGTGATTCTGTCCCCTCCCCGAGACCCCACCTCGTATCATCTTACGGGTTAGGAATTTGACATGAATTGTACAAGGATGTAAACGTTCAGTCCATTTCAATAAGTGTTTTTAACTTCCTAAGAAATGGTCACACAGGTTTCCATAGTGGTTGGATCATTTTACACTACTACTACATTATAGGAAGATTTCCAGTTGCTCCATATCTTTGCTAACACTTGGCATTGTCAGTCTCTTCAAATTTAATCAACTCTAGTCTCCTTATGATTTTAATTTGTATTTGCCCACTGAATGATGTTGTATGTCTATGATTTCATCTGCTTATTGCTTTTCTGTGTCGTCTTTAGTGATGTGTCTGTTCATACCTTTCGCCTATTTTTAAGTTGGGATGCTTATTGTTGACTCAAGTTCTTTCCATATTCTAGATGAAAAACATATATAATATATATAATTGTCTCCATTTGTGATGAATATATATTGTGAATATTTTCATGTTTGGTTTGCCTGTTCATTTTCTTAATGGCGTCTTTTGAATATTTTTAAAGTCTAATTTATCAAATATTTGGGTGAGGTGGCTCATGTCTGTAATCCCAGCACTTTGGGAGGCCAAGGTGGGCAGATCACCTGAGGCCAGAAGTTTGAGACCAGCCTGGCCAACATGGTAAAACCCTGTCTCTACTGAAAATACAAAAATCACCTGGGCACAGTGGCGCACCCCTGTAGTCCCAGCTACTCAGGAGGCTGAGGCAGGAGAATCACTTGAACCCAGGAGGCAGAGGTTGCAGTGAGCCAAGATAATGATTTATGAGATTTTATAATTGAGTTTAAGAAATTTGCCTACTCAAAGGACATGATTTTTTCCTATGTTTTTTATTTTATGGAGCTTTTACAGTTTTTACATTTAAGTCTGTGATCCATTTTGAGTTCACTTTTGTGTACCATATGCGATGAGGATCAAGATTCACTTTGGATCTGTGTGGATAGTTGTTTCGGTTCTGTTTGTTGAAAGAGTCTACTTTCCCAATGACCAAGTCTTCACAGGTTGGTAAAAACTTAACTGACATAGAAGTGGTCTGTTCTGGACACCATTCTTCTTGTATGTGTAGCTTTACACCAATATGACACTATATTGATTACTGTAGTTTTATTTGAGGCAGAATCTCATTCTGTTGCCCAGACTGGAGTGTAGTGGCACAATCATAGCTAATGTAACCTCGAGCATCTGGGCTCAAGTGAGCCTCTTGCCTTAGCCTCCCAAGTAGTTGAGACTGTAGGCATGCATCACCACGTCTTGCTAATTTTTTATATTTTTTTGTAGAGATGGGGTCTCACTATGTTGACCAGGCTGGTCTTGAACTCCTGGCCTCGAGATCCTCCTGCCTCAGCCTCCCAAAGGGATTACAGGTGTGAGCCACCACTCCTGGCCAATTGTAGTTTTATAATAAGTGTTGAACTCAGGTATTGGAAGAGCTTCCGTTTTTGTTCTTTTCCCTTTTTTTTTTTTTTTTCTGTTTTTTGTTTTGACTTCTAGATCTTTTGCATTTTCATATAAATTTGGAGTCAACTTTTATCAACTTCAGGCTGGTCCGATGGCTCATGCCTATGTAATCCTAGCACTTTGGGAGGCCAAGGCAGGCGGATCACTTGAGGTCAGGAGTTCAAAACTAGCCTGGCCAACATGGTGAAACCCCGTCTCTACTAAAAATACAAAACAATTAGCCGGGTGTGGTTTTGGGCGCCTCTAGAATCCCAGCTACTTGGGAGGCTGAGGCAAGATGATTGTTGAACCTGGAAGGCGGAGGTTTCGGTGAGAGCTGAGATTGTGGCATTGCACTCCAGCCTGGGCAACCAAGAGCGAAACTCTGTCTCAAAAAACAACTTTTATCAGTGTTTACAAAAAGAAAGTCTTCTGGGATTTATAGTTCAATTTAGGGAGAAATGACATTTTAACAATTCTGAGTTTTCCAATTGTTGAACATGGTGTACTGCCCCATTTATTTAGATCTCTGGATTTCTCTCAGTTTGCAGCTCTTACACATTTTGTTACATTCATGTATTTAATATTTCTGCATGCTATCGCAAGTGAGAAGGTTTTTTAAAAGCTATTTTCTAGTTGTTATTGCTGGTATATAGAAATGCATTAGACTTGTACATTGATCTTGTATCAAGCAACCTAGATCAGTTAACTTATTAGTTCTAGTAGCTTTTTTCTAGATTCTTTAGCATTTTCTATGTAGATAATCATGTCATCTGTGAATAAAGTATTTTACTTTTCCAATTTATATGGACTTTGTTCCTTTTTCTTATTGTACTGACTAGGGCACCTTGTTCTGTTTTCCTTAGAATTGGTAAGAGTATGTCCTTGTTTTGATATCAGGATACTGTTACTCTCAAAGAATTGTGAATTATTCTATCTTCATCTGTTTTCTGAAGTTGCTTATGTAATATTGATACTATTATTTCTTCCTTAAGTGTTTTCTTCCTTCCCTTCCTTCCCTCCTTCCCTCGCTCGCTCTTCTTTTTTTTCTTTTCTTTCCTTCCTTTTTTTTTTTTCTGAGATCCAGTCTCACTCTGTCACCGAGGCTGGAGTGCAGTGATGTGGTCTCGGCACACTGCAACCTCTGTCTCCCAGGTTTAAGTGGTTCTCCCACCTCAGCATCCCGAGTAGCTGGAACTGCAGATGCTTGCCACCGTGGCCGGGTGTTTGTATTTTTAGTAGAGACAGGGTTTCACCATGTTGCACAGGCTGATCTTGAACTCCTGACCTGGTGATCGGCCTACCTTGGCCTCCCAAAGTGTTGAGATTACAGGAGTGAGCCACTGTGCCCAGCCATAAATTCAATTTTTTTGAACAGCTATAATACTTAAGGTTTTTCTATTTCTTCTTGTGCCAAGTTTGGTAACTTTTATCTCTCAAAGAATTACTCATTTCATGTAAAACAGTGAATTATTGGCATAAAATTCAAAACATTCCATTGCATTTTATTTGACATTCTATTTTAATTATATTTAAAAGGATGTCTTCTGGCTGGGCGTAGTGGCTTACTCTGTCGCCCGAGCTGGAGTGCAGTGGTGTGATCTCGGCTCACTGCAACCTCTGCTTCCCGGGTTCAAGCGATTTTCCTGCCTCAGCCTCCTGAGTAGCTGGGAATACAGGCGCCTACCACTATGCCCAGCTAATTTTTTGTATTTTTAGTAGAGATGGGGTTTCACCATGTTGGCCAGGCTGGTCTCAAACCCTTGACCTCGTGATTCGCCCATGTCGGCCTCCCAAAGTGTTGGGATTACAGGCGTGAGCCACTGTGCCCGGCCAAAGTAGATTAATTCATTTATGAGAGCTTCACCTTCATGATCCAATCACCTCTTAGACTCCAGCTCTCAGTACTGCCATATTGGGGATGAAATTTCTTTTTTTTTTTTTTTTCTGAGACGGAGTTTCGCTCTGTCGCCCAGGCTGGAGTGCAGTGGCCGGATCTCAGCTCACTGCAAGCTCCGCCTCCCGGGTTCACGCCATTCTCCTGCCTCAGCCTCCCGAGTAGCTGGGACTACAGGCGCCGCCACCTCGCCCGGCTATTTTTTTTTTTTTTGTATTTTTAGTAGAGACAGGGTTTCACCGTGTTAGCCAGGATGGTCTCGATCTCCTGACCTCGTGATCCACCCGTCTGGGCCTCCCAAAGTGCTGGGATTACAGGCTTGAGCCACCGCGCCCGGCCGGGGATGAAATTTCTACATGAGTTTTGGAAGGGCAGATACTCAACATAGCTTTCTGTCCAAGACTCATGTCCTTCTCACAAACAGATTTGTTGCAATCCCATAGTCCTCCGATTTTATTCCAGCACTGAATTAAAAGTCCAGAGTCCAGAGTCTCATCTGTGAGCCTGTGAAATCGAACAAGTTACGTCCTTCTGAGATACAATGATGGTGTACAGGCAAAAGACAGATATTCCCACTCCATCAGGGAGGGGTAAGCAGTGAGAAAGGCTTAGCAGGTCCCAAGCAAGTCTGAAACCCTGCAGGGAAGGCCTTAAATTCTGAAGCTGGAGAATCGTCTCTTTTGACTCCATGTGCCACTTCCTGGACACCCCAGGGTGAGGTTGGGTCCCCCAAGGCCTCAGGCAGCCTCACTCTGTGGCTTTGCTCTACCCTCTATGGGTTAGAGTCTGGTGCCTGAAGCTTTTCCAGGCAAGCATGCATGCTGCCAGTGACTCCACAGTTCTTGGTTCCAAGTGGTGGTCCCACTCCCATGCCTCGCTAGACTACCCTGGTGGGGACTCCCCAGCAGCTCCAGCTCCTCATTTCCACTCAGCATTGCTTTAGTGGGGATTCTCTGTAGTGGCTCCACCCCTGCCACAAGTCTCTGCCTGGGCCCCTAGGCTTTCAATGGTATCCTGTGAAATCTGGATGGAGGCTGTCAAGCCTTCGCAGCTCTGACTTTTCTGTAAGTCAGCAGAATTAGCACCACATGGATGCCACCAAGGTTTAGGGCTTGTGCCTTCTGGAGTGAGGCATTCACATCTGGGCCTGCTTGAACAGTGGCTGGGTGACCACGGAGCACTACGCTGTGGTGCCTGGAGCAGAGTCCTAAGGTGGCCCTGGGCGAGCCTGTGGAGGGCTCCCAGGGTCTGTCCCCTGAAAGCATTCTGGCTTCCTAGGACTCTGAGCCTCTGATGGGAGAGGCAGCCTCGATAACCTGAAATGCCTGCTGGGTCTTAGTTTCATTGTCTCGGGAGAATTGCACCTGGCTCCCTTCTATCCAAGCTAATTTCTTTGACAAACTTCACTGGGCTATACCCTTAGTTTCCTCTCCTGAACACACTTTTACTCTACATGGCCAGCCTGAGTTTTCCAAATCTTTCCACTCTGCTTTTAAATTATAAATTCTATTTTTAAACTATTCCTTTGCTCTCCAAGCTCAGCGTAAGAGGCCAAAAGTAACCAGCAGCTCCTTTTTCTGTTGTTTTTTGGTTTTGGGTTTTGTTAAGATGAGGTTTTGCTGTTGTTACCCAGGCTGGAGTGCAGTGGTGGGATCTCGGCTCACCGCAACCTCTGCCTCCCGGGTTCAAGCGATTCTCCTGCCTCAGCCTCCCGAGTAGCTGGGATTACAGGCACGCTCCACCACACCCAGCTAATTTTCTATTTTTAGTAGAGATGGGGTTTCTCCATGTTGGCCAGGCTGGTGTCGAACTCCAGACCTCAGGTGATCCGCTGGCCTTGGCCTCCCACAGTGTCGGGATTACAGGTGGGAGCCGCCAGCCTTGGCCGCCCAAAGTGTTGGGATTACAGGTGGGAGCCGCCGCGCCCGGCCTCCCACAGTGCTGGGATTACAGGTGGGAGCCGCTGCGCCCGGCCTCCCACAGTGTTGGGATTACAGGATTAACGCGCCCGGCCACCAGCAGCTCCTTCTCTTTTTTTGCTGCCAGATATCCTAGTTCATCACTCTCAAGTTTGACCTTCCACAAAGCCTGCAAGCATGGACACAATTCAGCGA